CCCCGCCACTCCCCCGCTCCCTGTCGCTCTCCACCCCTCCCCATCGCTCCCCACCCCTCCCCGCCACTCCCCCGTTGCGCCCCATTGCTAGCATCACTGCCTGAACCTCCCTCCCCAGCCCCTGTCCATGGAAGAACTGTCTTCCACGAAACCAGTCCCTGCTGCCAAAAAGGTTGGGGAGCACTGCCGTAGAGAACACTAAATGCAATGTGTTATTTGGTTTGAAAAAGTAGAGGGTCAGGGAAAACTGCCTCGTATGTAGGAATATATTCTGTATTTTCTCACAAGCAGATGAGAAAGCTTCATTTGGAAACAGAGGCAGTCAGGTGTCAAGAACATCCAACTACAAAAGTCACTGGGTTTTTGGCAGGGGTTAAGTCCTAAGTTAGCACAAAAGGGGACTATCATGGGCAGTCAAAGGTCACCCTCAAAACCACCTTAGATGGCATTCAAGTATAGTCCGTGCTCCGTATGTGGAGCCCTCACTAGTCAGGTGAGCACAAACGTATGCTGGGTACAGCAATACACAGTGTTTAATTCCATGCTGGAGGGATTTTATCCAACGATTACATTACGTGAGAATTTGCTCTGAGAAGTTTCGCTGTACTTTCAAGGTGACCCACTCACCCATTCCTCCATTCAGTCATCGGTCACCATCTCCCATCCTACACCCCCATAATTCTACCAGTTTTTCCAGTTTCTCTACCATGGTCACTGTTTCCATTCCTTCCGCCAGGATGCCGGAGAGCCACCCTCACACATTACCTGGCCCCTGAGTCACAGGTTTCCCAAGTTTTTAGTGGACAAGACACTTGTCAAAGCATCCTCCCATTCTCCCAGGGGACTTGCAGGGAAGCAAGGGCTCCCTCTTAACACAGGCCTCATGGAGGGTGGGCGGGTGGGTGCACCTCCAGCCCCATGAGATTGGGAGTTTTCTCTATTTTTTTTTTTTTTTGGCCACGCAGCACGCTGCCGTCAGGGATCTTAGTTCCCCGATCAGGGATCGAACCCAGGCCCTCAGCAGTGAAAGCACGGAGCCCTAAGCACTGGACCACCAAGGAATTCCCCAGCATTTTAAAACAGAGGAAACTCTGGGAATTCCCTGGAGGTCCAGTGGTCAGGGCTCCATGCTTTCACTGTGGAGGGCCTGGGGTTCGATCCCTGGTCGGGGATCTAACATCCTGCAAGACCTGCGGCACGGCCAAAAAAAATTTTTTTTTAAATAAATAAAATGCTGACTTGCGCAGATGAATCCACATACACCGAATGTGTACATGATACAAGTCCTCTGGTAATGAAACTCCCTGCGTCTCTGCAACCTGCCAAACAGCCTGGCCAACCCCGGGCCCTGCAGGTGAGGCCACATGGTTGCGGCTGCTCCAGAGGCCTCCTTGTAAGCCTCTCAGCCTCTCCAAGGATGCTCCAACTAAGGAACCACAGAGGGCTGCAGACCAAGTCAGCATGTTCTTAACTCCAGAGGAGGGAGGTTTGATGATGGTAGCAATTTCTTTCAATACCAACTTATAACTTTAAGAAATTGGGGAGTTATCTTTACGTCCTTTCACAAGTTATAAGACACACACCTATCTGTAATTAATGACACTGACTTTTAAAAATACACTGACATAGGAAAGCAAAGTGACTAGACCCAAGCGTTACCTAATCCGGTAAATATAAGCTTAAATTATTCCATGATTAGTCAAGTTATTTTCGATGTGTATTATGTTATAACTAAAGGACTTCCAAATTGTAGTATTCTAAAATAAGTATAAAGACTGCTATAATTATAGCGAGTACATTTCCATGTGGGATATATCATAACCTAAAAACACAATGTTTATTTCTTAAATTCACTAACACAACATGTAATTATATTTATTAAAAAACGACTGTGGAAGAAATTATTCCATGTCCCTGTTGGATGTACCGGTTTTAAGATACAGTCATCCTTCTAGATCCACAAATTCAGAGTTGTACTGGCACTGACTTAATATACAAAAACCTGTCCATTTCCCTCCCATCAGCAATGCGAGGAGAGCCACTGCCGATGACCTCAGTACCGGTCTTGGCCATGCCAGCTCCCACATGGACCTGACTCTGTCACCTATTTCGCCTGTGCTACTGCCACCCTCACTGTGCCACCTTGACCTCTCACCTGGACAGCTCCATCAGCCCCTAATAGGCCACCCGGATTGCACTGAGACCAGCTCGCCCAGAACAGCCCCAACTTCCTTTCAAAATGCAAATCTTATCACTTTTCAGTAGCTCCCGTTGCTTTCAAGAAAAGTCTAATGTCCTTAACATGGCCTGTCCTGCAAGGCATGCGTGGGCCAACTTCTTAGACCACCCTCTGCCTTTCCTCCTCCCCTCCTGTCCACTTCCCAGGTGCTTCTCCAGGGTCTGGCTCCATACCTACACATCCACTCTCCCTCCCCACCTGTCTAGCACCTGTTCATCCTGCAGGTCCCGGTTCTTCACGAAAGCCCTCCTTGAACTCTTTCACTAGACTAAATCCTCTTACTTGATTCTCAGAAGTTCCTTATACATAGCCTTCACGACACTCCTCCCAATTCTAAGTTTATCTTTATTTCTCCAGTTCTTTGATTGATGGCAGTCTCCCCTACTGATCAGGAAGCCCCACGAGGACAGAAACCACAAATATTTTTGCTCAGTGCGGTATCTTCTCTGTCAGCACACCTGCTTGTAAGGCAGGTACTCAAATATTTGCAAATGAATGAGGCACTGATATAATAGCCTGATCTGAGTTTGCTCACAGGCTCGACCATCACGCCCTTAAATGGCCTAACAATGGAAAACGAGCGAATTCCAGGGCTGTCCATCAGCCAAAAGAAGAGAGGAGGTGCCTTAAACAGGCTTTCCAGACAAAATTCCTGAGCAAAGCATCGCTGGTGACCTTTTCTGGAAAATCTAAGTCAACTCAGTCTCGAGAATTTTTTTTTCCCCTGCTGGTTTCCAGGTCTTGGTTGGATTCATGCTGGAGAATTCCGCTGAACAACAGCCAGCAGCCCCTTACTCCCTGCACAGGGGAAGCCATATGATTATTCTCTTTACA